TCCTGTCACCTGGCTGTCCTCCTCCAGGCTCTCCTGCCAGCCTTCTCCCTTCCTCCTGCTCCCCCAGTCACTGGCCCAGGTCATCCAGCCTCAGGGGTGGGGCTTCCAGGGCCTTCCCAGTGTCCTCCTCCCAGGACTGACCTGGCTCCTGTCCCTAGCCCTGTGCATGGTAGGTTTTTCTCACACACAGATCCCTGGACCTGCCAAGCTCTGCCCCTCCCAAGTCTGAGAACTGCCCACCCCTGTGTGTCTGCTGTCCTCCACACCACCTTCCACGTGGCCCCTCCTGCACAGAGGCTCTAGTGCATCAGGCCAGTACCTTCCAGGCTCTTGTGTCCCTGCTCAGTCACAGAGATGGCTGCCATCCCATGCCCCTGTCCTAAAGCAAAGACAGGCCCTGGGCTTGGTCCAGGCCTCCTCCCCTTTCCCACAGCCTCAGGAGCCTGGAGATTAATGGACACCAACTGCAGGGCCTCCCCACATGGAGACTGTGTGGAGTGGGAGATCTCTGCCTATTTTCTCATTCAATGGGGAACAGGCTGAGTGGCTGAGTGAGAGTGGGATTCAGGGGCTCTGCCCAGTCCTCACCCCAGGCTAAGCCCTCCCTTACAGCCAGGGGCCAGTGGCCACCCCCACCAAGTCCCTCTGGCTTCTGTCCACAGTTCTAGATGGTTCCATGGTGACCAAGACAAGGATGCACTCGAGTTGCCCCTTTGAGGACGGCTGCAGTGATCATCCAGGGACTGAGCAGAGGTGCAGGTGCAGCCATGGGCTTAGGTGTGGTTGGCCACAGTGGGGTATGTGTTGGAACCAGATGCTCGGTGCCACAAAGAAAAATCAGCACCTAGACAAATGATCTTTCAGCAACGCAATTTTTACTTTCTGGACTGAAGTAAGGGCACTCTCACTAGCCATCTTGCCAAGGGAGTACAATGAACAAAGGAAAACACATACATTTATCCCTTAGGCATTTGGGGTCGTCCTTACTGCTGCATCTGATTGGTCTCGGTTGCCTGGAGCCAGACCTCACAATCTAAACTAAAACCTGATTAACACCTTAAAACTTTTCTAAACAGGTGAAAGCAATGGAGGGCTGGGACATGTCTGTGAGCATGTCCAGCACAAATATTTTGCTTAAAGTACAAGGACATAGAATGTACTACTGCCTGTAAGTATGCCATGTCTAACAGCTGCATAGCATAGGACCTAACAAAGTTATTACCACACTTATTCTTCAACAAGAAAGCAAACTTTAAGAAGGAACTTTTCTGCTTCCCACAACCGGGAGCAAAGTGAGCCCCACGCAGGCATAGGCTCCTCCCTCGGCTTCTGCTCTCCATGGAAACACAATTGATCACATGATTGATCAGGGTAGGCCACTAGGGTTTTCTTTTGTTTTTTCCAGAAGTCATAAACGGATATAAAATATACTCAAAGACCTCCTCATGCTTTTAGTGGAGAGGCAAAGCAGGTCCGCTCTGGACCGGGGAAGCGCCTGCGACCTGGGCGAGAAGGGCGGGGACTCCCGCGGAGGGAGGCCGGTGTCTCTGGCGCTGGTGGTGACCGGAACACACCGCGGCCACTGAACATTCCTGTGCAAGTTTCTTCACCTTCTTGTGCATCAGTGTTTACACTGGGGAAATAATAAATGCTGTGTGGAAAGTTTAACGAGGCGGTCAGAGAAGGAACAGTGGCCTCGCAAACGCGCAAGCGCAGCCGAAGCTCCCGGCGTGCAGCCGCCTGGTGCCGCCCCCGGCGCGGAGCGGCCAGCCAATCAGCGCTCGGCCAGCTCACGTTCCACGGGGAAGGGTGGGGCGAGCAGAGGCGAGCTGCGTATCCCCTTAAAGGCGCACCCAGACGATTCATTCGCTGGTCTCGTTGATGGAAACTCTTCTGCCCTGCGGTCCAGGACCCGAATGGCAGCCTCCGCCAGCGCCTCGTTTTTTCTGTCCCTGCCGCTTCTGCTCCTGCTGTCCGGCTGGTCCGGGACGAGGCGCGCCGGTGAGTTGGCGGGTGGAGCCCAGTCCTGGGGGGCTGTGGACTGCAGCGGGTTTCAGAAAGGGGAGACCGGCGCGATCTCCCCGGACTGCGCCCCGCCATCACCTCCGTTCCGCGGGTCCTTTCCGCCAGGTTCGCTGCCGCTTGCCCCCCAGGCCAGGAGGGTTGTCAAAGTCCGAAGAAGAGCCTCAGGAGGGTGGAGGGGTCAGAGGGGTGCAGAGGGCGAGGTGGGACACGGATTCCTGGGGCAGCCCCACAGCACCACTCGCTGTCAGGAAAGAGAAATGAGAGCCCCTGGAAATCCAGCTGGGGTCAGGACAGGGGTGAAATGGAGTTCCACAGGGACACGATGACAGACACTCCCACCAGCCACAGGCCTGCTCTGCGCTAACCCTCCCTCCACCGCACAAACCCTCCAGCACCCCCAGGGCTCCCTGCCCTGGAACTTCCCCTGGCGCTTTCCTGCAGCCACTCACCTGCACCCAGGGGCTCAGCAGACACTTCCCACCCCTCCCTCACCATCCACTGCCACCTCCAGGTCACATCCTCTCACTCCCCACCTCAGCCCAGTCCTGTCATTCCACAGGCCTCCCTTACCTCCCCATCTGTGAAGGGGTCCTTACACCTCCCGACCAACTGGCACCTTCTCCCCCCTTGCCTGAGGACACCCCAGCAAACACACCCCATGCTTTCCACAGAACCTAGTGCAGCAGGGATGGGAAGCACCATTTCCCCAGGATGACCCTGGGAACGCTGGTGAGTGGAGGTGACCACTTCTGCCCTTAGGGCCCAGACCCACCTGTTCTTCCTACTGGGGAGCCAGGGTCATAGAGAATAGTCACTGTACAGACAGGAGTTAGCAAACCCTTTCTAGAAAGGAAGGGCTGAAGGCACTGTGGTCCTTGCTTGCATGGATTCTCTGTCTCTCTGTCAAGACCTGTCCCTTTGTAGAACAACAGCAGGCAAAGCAACCTGGAAATAAAAGGGAGACCACATGTGGACACCATCCTAGGTTGCTGACCCCAGATGAGGGCACCTGCTGTGTCCTGGCAATTGATGCCCCATCCCCTAGGGTGTCATCTCCAACTGTTGTCAGTTGAAGAGTCACAAGTGTGTCCTACCCTGCCTGTGGCTTCTGGGTGGTGTGGATGTGATGGATGTGAGTGGGGGTCCCATGATTCGGGGCCTATTCTCCCCTCCTTTGCTGCTGAGTGGCATCAATGATTCAACGGGGCCATCAGCAACTCTCCCTAATGTCTCAGGTGTGAGCTGAGGGTGAGGGGATGCAGCCATATGGTGTCCGCGGATCGGAGCCAACTGCTTGTGCAGCTTCTTGGTTCCCTGTGGCCCTGCTCCTGCCCATCCCAGGAGAACCACCTGCATCTTCTCACAGTCAGGCCTACCTTCCTAATGACCTAGAGGGTGAGGAGCACACCCTGGGATGGTAGCTCTGAGGCTGCGCGGTCACTGCCCTCCCATAGGGAGGCCCATCCCCACCAGGGCCCAGAGACACACCTGGAACCACTTTTCAATGAGGAGATTTTGCAGCTGTGAGTGGCACAGCCTTGATTCTGAGCACTGGGGACCCTGTTGTGATTCTGCAGTTGGAAATTGCCATGAAATCCACATAGCACCTTTTCCAACCACACATGCCTCTGGGATCTTAGGGAGTCCGGGGTCAAATAGCCGTAGTGACAGGGCCAGCCACACTCCTCAGTCACAGACTGTGTATGGCTGCACCCCAGCTCCAAGAGCAGGGTTGAGTAGTGGCAGGGAGGTCATGTGACCAGCACAACCTGTAATAGGTACTACATTAACTACAAACTCTATCCATTCCTGGTACAAACCCAGGAAATGTGAAATTACCATCAAATGGGTCTATGAGCACAGCACATCTCTCTAACTGGACCTGACACAGGTGTCCATCCGTTACTTATCCCCAAATGCACCTCATGAGTAACACGGGAGCAAGCGAATGCGTCAGATCCCTGGGAGGAGGTTGGGTCGCACAATGTGTCCACTAGGCGTGTCTGGGTATTTGCTGTTTCTTGCTGTACAGTTAGCAGAGTGAATGCCTGTCTGGCTCCGTGGGGAGGCTGAAGCAGTCCCTGCAGTTGCTGTGGGTGGAAGGGGCCCACCAGGGGCTCTGGGCTCTTCTCCTAGTCATGGACTCTGGGTCTGAGATGTGGCTCAGTTGTCTCAGTTGAGCAAAGGAGCTCGGTTATTTCCTGGGGTGACTACTTTCAGCCTCCAGGTCATCCATCCATGCATTTTGTCTTTGTTTGCTGTAATTATTTAAGCCTAGCAGTAGCCGTGTGGAGTCTCCATCTCTTTTGGATCTTGGACCCCTTTGTTCTATGAGCCATGGGCATAGCTTTGTATGGCTGAGGTCCCCAGCTGGCATTGGGACTTCCCTAATCATTTCCATCATGGCACCCTCCTTCCTCCTGACAGTTGACAGCCTCCACTTGAGATCTGTTATTTCAGGATTTTCCATCCCCATTACTGCAGGGCGCTCATTTCAGGACCAGCATCCCCTACCCCCAACCCCGGACTTCAGCAACAGGCACCCCTGAGCTTCATGACAGTCTGCTGCCTTCTCCTGGGGCCTTCTTTATATGCTGGGTAAACAGGAGTCCCCCAGGCTTCCCGTGAGCACAGAGGACGGACAATGTTCTGGATTTTCATGCTGCAGCCACTCTGGCATGGGCGCTTCTCTCAGCCTTTTGTTCCTTCCTCTACAAGCCGCCACGTAAGAGCTGGGTTTTTGTTTCATGCGGTGTGGGTCATTCCTTTTTCCAGGGTCCCAAGGGCAACCCACTAGCAGATGAGAGGCACGTTCCAGGGAACCTACTGTGTCATTACCCATAATAAATAAACTCACTCCTCCAATGTTGACTACATCGTACCCACTGTGCCATGCTCCAGCATGCTCAGGGCGCCCTCCCACACTCTCCACCTCCCGCAGTCCACCTGGGCTGCTGCCGAAGATGCTGCCATCTAGGCCCTTCCACCTGTAGCAGGCCTGGCACCTCCCTGGCAAGGTCCTGTGCTGACCGACGTATGTATAGGCCTGGGCAGAGTGCGGAGATGGACACATTGGTGACCCATGGTTCCTCCACAGACAGAGGCCACTGCCCAGGAAGAGAAGTCCATGCTCTGGCAGCCCAGCCCTGCAGGAAACCCTCTTGCTGTCACAGTGTTTGGGGTCTTTCCCCGCAGCCCAACACTCTCCAGTGTTTTTTTCTTTTTTCCCATAGACGCTGACTCTCTCTGCTACAACTTCACCATCATCCATCTGCCCAGACATGGACAACAGTGGTGCAAGGTCCAAGGCCAGCTGGATCAGAAGAATTTCCTCTCCTATGACTGTGGCATTGACAGGGTCTTATCTGTGGGTCGCCTAGAAGAGCAGCTGAATGCCACAGATGGCTGGGGAAGACAACTGGAAATGCTGAGAGAGGTGGGGCAGAGGCTCAGACTGGAACTGGCTGGCATTGAGCTGGAGGATTTCACCCCCAGTGGTGAGTAGAGGAGACCGAGGACAGAAGGGAGCAGACTGTGGGCTCAGGGGCTGCACCGTGTGTGGGGAGAAGACATTAGACATGGGGCCTCCATGAAGCCCAGCAGCAAGGGCAGGACCTGGAGGAGACAACAGGGCCAGATGAGAAGGGGCTCAGAGGAGGAGGACGTGGGGCAGGGAAGGGAATTTGTAAAGACCAGCGCTGATCTCTTTCTGATTGGGGCAGGACCCGTCAGGCTGCAGGCCAGGATGTCTTGTGAGTGTGAAGCCGATGGACACATCCATGGATCCTGGCAGTTCGGATTTGATGGACAGAGGTTCCTCCTCTTTGACTCACACAACGGAAAGTGGACAGTGGTTCATGCTGGAGCCAGGCGGATGAAAGAGAAGTGGGAGGAGGACAGGGAACTGACCGCGTTCTTCCGGAAGGTCTCCACAGGAGACTGCAGGAGCTGGCTTCGGGACTTCCTGATGAGCAGGGAGAAGAGGCTGGAGCCCACAGGTGACTACAGGGGAGCACTAGGAGCGCCTGGAGATGCCGTCGAGTTACAGCCTTGTCTGTCGGTGTCTGTGGTGGGTGCGGGTGTATGGGTGTAAGTGCATATCAGTGTTTGTGCGTGTGTGTGTGTGTGAGTGTGAGTGTGTGAGTTTGAGTAAGAATATGACCCCTCATGGGGGACTTCTTTTGGGGGCCCCTGTGCTCTCCCAACCTCCTCTCCCTTCTCCCTCCTGACTCCTCTTCCTCGCTGCCCCTTTTTCTCCCCTCACTGTGGATTTCTCGCCAGCCTCAAAACTATGGGCATTGTTGTGTTTCTAGACCTTTTTCCTTGGATTTCCCTCCTCCTAGGATTCCTTTGCCTTTCCTCTCCCCTTGGTCTGTTTCTGGAAATCCACCAAAATCACCTTCAATGCCAACCTTGAGATCCTACCTCTCCCTACCCTCGGGCATCACCTCTTCTTCCGCCACAGCAGGAGAGTGGGCTGTGCTGTCACCTTGCTTCCCTTGGCAGCTGTGTGAGCTCCGTGAGGACAGGGGACACCCCCTCTCCCTTCCTACCCCAGCACCTGTCTCTGGGGCTGCCCCATAGCAGGGGGGACAAAACCTTTGCCTTGTAGGATGACCTGGGGTGGCAGGAGTAGAGGAGGTGTGTCTTCACATGTGGGGCCTGGGCAAGGATTGTGATGCTTGTGTTTCCATTTCAGCACCGCCCACCGAGTCCTCAGGCACAGCCCAACTCAGGGCCACGGCCACCACCCTCGGGCTTTGCTGCCTCTGCCTCATCCTCCCCTGCTTCCTCCTACCTGCATCTGAGGTGAGTCCTTTAGAGTGACAGGTACTGTGGGCAGAATTGGGAGGGAAGCAAGAAGCAGGTGGGTGAGGAGAGAGGATGGGAAAGGAGAATTCCAGGGTCCCCCGCCTCCCCATGGCCGGGACCTTTCCATCCTGACATGAGATAGGTGAATGAGACCTTGTGTCGCTTCTTGGCAATGACTTGGGCAGTTCAGCCCTGAGTTCTGATGGATTCTCACCTTCAGAGGCTGGAGGGAAAGGAAGGGGCCCATACCAAGGCTCAGGGTCTGTTTAGCCAATTCAGGCCTGTTTCAGAGCAGGTTCCTATTTGGGAAGGGTGGTGGTGTGCGGCCCGCAGGCAGCAGAAACTCAGATATGGGCAGTACGCACAGTAGGAGAGGAGCAGCATGGCCACTTCACCTTGGATGTCAAGGGAAAGGGCATCCCTGAAGAAGGCTAAGAAGAGAGTGATCTGGGGGAATCCCAGGACGAGGGGGCTGTGAGGGCCTTGGTTCACCCATTCCAAAGGCCACATTCCCAGAGAAAGCAGCTTGGGTCCCAGCAGTTAAGGTGGAAGGTGAAGAGTGGAGTGTGTCCAGGATGAGGTTTAGGAAAAGGCCGAGCCACTAGAACCCATGGGATTGCCCGCAGGGCTCTGCGGCAGTGCCCCTGCCCTCCCGCCTCCTGCACACTCCAGACCCTGAGCCAGCTGAAGGCCCTGCCTGGAGCAGATGGACGCAGACAGGGAGCTGAGCTGCTGCTGGAGTTCCATGGTGACCACTGAGCTTGGCCAGGAATGAATGGGGCGGGGTGGGTAATGCTCCATTCAGAGCTATGGGTGCAGCTCCCAGGGTGAGGAGAGGCTGAGAGTGAAGGTGAAAGAGCAGGTTTGCCTGAAAGCCCACCCAAGGCCAGGGAACATGGATCCAGAGACCGCTCTTTGGACAGGACGCACCAGGTCCTCTGGACCCTTCTGTGAGAAGGAGGAGCAGGCCCTGAGTGTGGGTGCAGACCCCTCTTTCCCAGCCTCAGTTCTGAGCCCGTGGGCTGTAGCAGGGCCTGGGCTGGCTCTGTGATGTGGTGCAGGAGGGAGGAGGTTGGGAAGCTGCAGAGCCAGGGGGAGGATTGGAGGGAAAACATGGTCCTTATCTGGAGGAGAGGCTGCAAAATGGGGAGGGCCTGGGAGGGATCACCCAGGAGAACAGACCCAGGTTTTTCTCAGCCACTTAAACCAACGCTTCATCTTTCTGAAGGTGGAAGATGACGCCAAGCAGCCCCTGTTAGTCTGGTCTGCCTCCCGCTCTCCCTCAGGGAGGCCGCCTGTCTACTCACCGCTGTGCCTTTCTGGACCGCCGGGAGGTCAAGCCTTGGCAAGCCCACAGCCCGCAACAGACGATGAGGGCATTGGAGACCCAACCTCTCATGCTGCTCATTACCTTCAGTGATGGTCCTAGCAGCCATTTTTCTTCACATCCTCTATCACTTTCACTTGGTGCTAATGGATGGAATTCCTGCACAAGTTATAACTGGACAAGAAATCCCAGCAAAAAAAAAACATTTTCTTTCTACTTCGTTGATTGTGGGAAAGCAGACATTTCTCTGAAGCAGGACCTCATTCTTCCAACTGGTATTGCTAGTAAAATCGCATGCTGGGCTTCAGACCTCAGAGATCCGTTCCATGCACTGACCAAGAATTCTATTAATCCTTTTTATTTTTACGGTGTTTTACATTTTCTCATTCTGTAAAACGTATTGGAGGGAAGTGGCACAATCATCACTCACTGTAATCTCACCTGACAAAGGTCTAATATCCAGAATCTAGTATCTACAGAATCTTGTTCAGTATCCAGAATTCAACAAGCAAGAACAAAAAATCCAACTAACAAATGGGTAAAGAGATGAACACTTTTCAAAAGAAGACATGCAAGTGGCCAAATCATCAGATAGGTGCCAATCAAAACCGCAGTGAGTTACCACCTCTTATCTGTCACAAAGTCAGAGATGGTGGTGAGGCTGCAGAGAGTTGAAACAGACGCTGCTGGTGGGAAAGCAAACCTGTTCAGCCGCGGTGGCAAGCAGCTTGGAGATCTCTGCAAGAACTTAAAATAGAACTACCATTCGACCCAGCAATTCCACTTATGGGGATATGCCCAGAGGAAAAGAACACATTTTGTCAAAAAGACACCTGCAACCGTATGTTCAATGCAGTGCTATTCTCACTAGCAAGGACACAGAGTCAATCTCAGTGCCCCGCAACAGTGAACAGAATGAAAACAATGTGGTGCACAGACACTGTGAAAATCTATCCAGCCATTAAACAACAAAATCATGTCCTCTTCAGCAACATGGATGGAACGAGAGGCTGTTATCCTAAGCAGACTAATGCAAGGACAGAAAGCCACATACTGCATGTTCCCATTTGAAAGTGGCAGCTAAACATTGAATTCACATGAACCAGATGCTGGAGATCACTAGATGGGGGAGAGGGAAGGGGTACCTGGGCTGCAAACCACCTGTTGGGGACCCTGCTTACTGTTCGGGTGATGGGATCATTGGGACGCCAAGCCTCAGCCTCCCAAAGTCTACCGTGTAACAGCCCTGTATGTGTACCCTTTAATCTATAATATAGGCTGAAATTAAAGATGAATAAATAAAAATGACATAAGGCCAGAAAAAAATGGGGTTAACTGACTGAGAGAACTCTGCACTATGAACCCTAACCCAGCTCAAAAAAATAAACTCCAATAGTTTAAAATAACCTCAAGTTGTGTGACGATAATTGCATAAAAGTTATACATGTAAGTGCCAAACCCTAAAATTAAACATTGCATAATGAAATTACACATGAATTCCATCTTGTTCTTTATAGCCTTACTTTTTTTTCCATTTTCAAGTGCTATGTTTTCTGTATCCTCAGGGAATCCTTGCTGTCAGCCTTCTCCTTCTGCACCACACCCTCCGTTTCCGCTGTCCACCTCAGCGCTTCCTCCGGCCTGGGACTGTGGCTTCCTTGGCATTGAAGGCACAAGAGCTGCATTCAGTCTCCGGAGACAGGAGGGGCGGGGCAGGTGGTGGGGGTGGTCTCGGCATTGCAGAGGAACCTCACAGCTCAGGCCCTCTATTGCAGAAGGCTGCGTTTCTCCACCAGCTTAGCCACAACCAAGCCAACCTTGCCTCTTTCCTGATTGGCTTTTTTCTCACTCTTCCTAACTTCTTAAAAATGTATATTCTTCCACCTAACGTTTCTTTCTACTTCTTGTCTTTACAATATATTCAGATTTTTTGTGCCTAGAAAATACTGGTCTCACCATGTCCTAAGTTGCCATCTAAACCATAGTGAGTGATTTGACAAGAAAGAAGCCCCGCCCCAATCGCTGCCTCTCATTTCTTCACTTGCAGGGTTCCTACAGCCTCAGCACCGACAATGGGCTGTACTGCGGATGCTCCTCTGAGGAAAACAGACAGAATCCCTGCTCCAGTGTGGACAGCAGGTGAACACAACCAGCAGGTGCATTGCATGGGATGTAGGAAGGTGACAGATGATTCAGGGCACAGGGAACAAGGTTGTGGGGAGGAAGAACAGAAGGGGAGCCCCCAGGTCCTCAGTAGCCCAAACATGAAGGTCTATCGAGAAGGTGACATGTGAGTCCTGGCTTCAAGGAGGTGAGCATTCCCGTGGGAGGCAGAGGCCTTGAGTGGTCCAGAAAAATCCAGAAGGTGTCTCCGTAACATTTTTAAGGCAACACTAAAACAAAAGAAAGGCTGCTCGGGGGCTCACACCTGTAATCCCAGCACTTTGGGAGGCCGAGGTGGAAGGACTAGGAGGTCAGGAGATTGAGACCAGCCTGACCAACATGGTGAAACCCCACCCTACTAAAATTACAAAAATCAGCCAGGCGTGGTGGCATGTGTATGTAGTCCCAGCTACTCAGGAGGCTGAAGCAGAAGAATCGCCTGAACCTGGGAGGCAGGCATTGCAGTGAGCCGAGATGGCGCCACTGCACTCCAGCCTGGGCACAGAGCAAGACTCCATCTCAAAAAAAGAAAGAAAGAAAGAAAGAAGAAAAGAAAGAAATACCCAAGAATATATTTATTAAATAATTAGTACCAATCAATAACTATTTATGACCTGGCAATTTAATGACCATTTAAGAAAACATTTCACATAAATTGAAAACGTAGTATATTTACTTCATTCTTTTTGTTTGTTT